AAAATTCACTGCCCTTGAACAAAAGTCTTGGTCTAGAACGGAGAATGCAGTTAACCGTCATAAAAAAACCCTTGCAGTTAAATTCGAAAAACTTCTTTTACAGTCTTCCAGTTCAAGTAGTTCAAAAAATCTTCCCATTGTAAACATCAAGCCAATAGTTAATATTTCTAATGTTAGTCTTTCAGAAGAACAAGAGAGAATTCTAAAATATAATTTTAACTTCTCACAAACCTGTAAACCCTCGATTCCAAAGATTTTGGCTCCTATCGAAAAAGCTTTCAAGTTCAGTAAAGTTTCAGATTCACAGAAAGAAATGATTAGGCATCTTATCGCTCATAATGTGAAATTCAATAATAAACCTTTGAAACCAAATCTAACTGCGAGAGAAAGAGCTACAATGCGCGAGATTCATTCTAACCCGGATATTGTCATTTCAAAGGCCGACAAAGGTGGCCAGATAGTCGTCATGGATAAGAACACTTACATCAATGGTGTCACTAAACTCTTAAACGAAGGACCATATAATCTGATCCCTAAAGATCCTTCACCTTCGGACTTATCCAAACTAAAAACTGCGATCAAATCTTCGCAAATCATTTCAAGCAACTTAAAACATTCGCTTATCCCATCTGTTGCGAATTGTGCCAGATTATATGCTCTTCCCAAAATTCATAAAAGTGGTATTCCTTTCCGCCCTATTGTATCAAATTTAGGTACTGCCTCGTATCCATTAGCTAAATATTTAGTTTCTAGATTTTCCACTCTATTAGACAATAACATTTACACCATAAAAAATTCAATAGAGTTTGTAAAAAAGGTTAAAATCATTTCTCCTCGTAATTTACTCATGGTTTCTTTTGATGTAAAATCATTATTCACCAATGTCCCAGTGGAGGGTGCATTAAGATGTCTAGAAACCAGACTTCGAATTTCATTTCTCTTGCATCGAAATTGATGAGCTAATTTTCTCTCACTCAACTCTGTTTGAAACAAACACATTTTGTTTTCCAAATAAATATTACAAGCAAACTGAGGGATTAGCCATGGGAAGCCCCCTCAGTCCCATCCTGGCTGATATCTACATGCATTATTATGAATCAAAATTGTTTGAAATTTTAAAACTTCCCGGCATGGTTCCGCTACGTAGACGATACTTTTACCCTGTTTGAAGGTAATAAAGATGATTTAAATAGAGTTCTTTCAACAATGAATTCTATTGATCCTGCTATTCAGTTCACTTTTGAACTTGAGACTTGCAATTCTCTTCCGTTTCTCGACATTCTGGTCACCAGTAACACATCCAACTTCAGTACTACAGTTTACCGTAAACCTTCATCGGTTTGCCTTCCACCACACTTTAAATCATGTCATCCGACTAAACAAAAGTTAGCTTCATTTTATTCCTATGTTTTCCGTGCTCTTCAAGTTTGCTCCTCCAAACTAAGCCCTTGATGAAGAACTAAATTATTTAAAAAGCAATAGCTATTGACAGGGGCTTTTCACCCAACATTATTAATCAAGCAGTTAAAAAATTCTCATCTCAACAACACACTAAAAGCCACACTCTTATTTTAGGAGATTATAAAAATTCTGTTTTCATTCCTTCTTTCCATCAATTAGCTATAAGTTGCACATATTTTGCAGAAATTTAACTTTCGGGTTGTTTATACTCTCCCATCAATAAAATTCCAGTTCTATACTCAAGGACCCCATTCCGGATATGAATTCCTGGGGTATTTATAGGATTCCTTGCCAGTGCGGTTTAATTTACATTGGCCAAACTAAGAGAGCCTTAAAATTTCGCGTCAAAGAACATGAGGCATATGTTAGAAAAAAGGAAACACAGAAGTCTTCTGTTGCTCAACATTGTTGGTCCGAAAATCACACTTTCAATTTTCTGCTGCCAAAATTATTCAAAAAACATCTTCCATTGGAGAACTGGATTTTCTAGAGGCATTTCACATTCATAAAAATCTTTCTGTTCTAGTTAACGATCCTAATTCCAATCCAATTTGCCTTCGGCCTTTAGAGAAATTATGTTTAGTTCTGGTTTCGCCAACAGATGGCGCCACTTGCTTATTCTTGTCCAGGCTTTCTTATCTTATCTAAACATTATTTCCTATCTTGTTCATTTGCGGTTTTGCAGCTGAAGATGATGGTTCGGTAAAACCATCGAAACTAGTCCTGTGAAAATTTTGTGAATTAACGCTGATTTTTGTTGTTTGACTTCTGAATCAGTATTTATTCGGCGTGTTATTGTGTCTTAAGCATAGGAAGTTGTATGAAGATACATCTCTTCTTGATCACAAAAAATTTTAGAAGCCATTGTCGCCAAACTCTTTCGACTAGTTATCTATATTATTAGGGCATTATGCAGGTGTAACAATTGATAATCTTAAGAAAGAATATCAGGACCTAGTAAGTAAATGGAAAATACTAAAAAATGCAATTGAAAATCATTATTTTAAATCTGATACCAATTCAGAATGACAGAGTGCTATTAATGAGCATTCATCCAAAGCGAAATGAAATTTTTGCAAAAACTGCATCTTGTGTGTATATATAAATTACTCTTGAAATATAACTCATATAGTAATGAGTATGCCAATGTCTTTTTCGCTTATGAGTTTGTACTCACCCTATCTGTAATGCAAACTGAATTTGAAAAAGCTTTTTTAAAATTAAAAATTGTAAAAAAGTAAATTAAGGAGTGCAATGAAGCAAGCTAATTTGAAGTCAATGCTATTGATGAACATATAGAAGGATATTTTAGTTAAAGCAAAAATAGAAAATATAATGGAGGATATATTTACCCAGGGGCCTGGAATTAAAAAATATTTAAATGGCTAATCATGAATCAACCACTACTGTGTTTATATCATTGTTATTTATTGTTTGTAGTTCATTTACATATATATTTATATGATATAATTGCAGCAAAGGAAAAGACGGAGCAGTGTTGAATACATAATACCCAGACAGTATAGAACATAGATCCATATTGAAGAGGAAGAATTCTGATTGAGTAGTATGCTAATATATTGACTTCATAATATCTAAAAAACTTGGCAGTCGAGGTAGTTTTAATTCCATTTTTATTTGCAATTGATATTTGTGGTCACAATCACTTGACACCCTAATCGTGCATGTTCAAGAAAATTGACAGTTTTGATATTGTTGAGATGAAAAGCAGGCCAGTGAAATTACATCCTAGCAGAGCAGAGAGCGAAGTTAAAGTACGTAGTTAACCAATATGGAAGCATGGGAAGAGAAACATTTTGGTTCCCAAGTATTACATCATAAGATCTGTGCAGGCCATGGAAAATAGAATGATCTAGAAATGACACAATCCAGAGAAGTTATTACAATTTTTAAAACAGAGAGGGGGAATTAAAGTTTTATTGTTAGTTTAAATCATAATTTTGATTCACATATTTTTTATCTTACATATATATATGAATAAAGAGTTACTTTTCTGCAGAGGTATATTTTATTTTATAAAATTATTTTTTATGATGATTTATGACATTTCATATGGGGCTTAAGGCCGGCATATTTTTTCTGCCAGGGCCGATTTCTTTGGCCAATCCACCACTGCTCTCCTGTGGCTATACAAAAGATGCCAGTGGAAGGATTTACGAAAAAAGCAGAGTGCTTTCGCAATTTTTATAATTTGAGAAATTTTGACAGTCAAAGAACTCTAGTATAATTTCTGGAAAACGAAGAAACTAGAGATTGATAACATGAAGGAGTTAACTATGGAAGATTTGGCAAAAGCAACAATTTTTTTCCCCCCAGAAATGACATGTACTCTCCTTGTATCTTTGTCTCAACCATGTACTATGTGTATACTTGAGCGCTCATTTAGTATCTGCACAGAGTAAAAATTTGGTTGCACTCAACAAAGACAGAGAGTTGCTTAAATGGGCTTTGTATGTTAAGTGAGCATTGAAAGCTTGTCTAAGAAACAAGAATAGAAAAAGAAAAAGAAGTTTTAGGACGATTTAGTTCAGACAGCAGCAAAATTATTGTAATATAAATTAAAGACCATGTAAAAAAGTGTTCAGAAGTCCCTTTATTCCTTTCAACGATCTGTATAAACTTATGTATTCCAGTTTCGTTATCTATTTGCTCATTTATTTGACTGAAGGAAAGCTGTCTTAGAGAAGAATATTTTTAGGTAAACTGGCTTGTATTCAATTTATAATACATGAGGAGAAAAAAAAAAACACACAAAAATACTCATGCAGCCCACCAATTAGTTCGCTTTCAAATCAAATTACTGGTGCTCAGCAATTTTATCTACTCTACCACTGAAGAATTCGTGTTATATCATAGTTTTGTTTTCTCAGTCTAAGATCATTTGCACACCCCTAGCTCTGATCCTGGCTATGCCCATGCATACATATAGTATATAGTTTCTTCATTATTTAATAGCAGAGATTTAAAAATTTAAAAATTGTTTATTCAAGTTTCTCACATTTTGAAGTAATTAGTCTAATCTCCTTTTTGTACAGTTCTGAATAATGTTTTTTTAAGCAATGCTCTCATTTTGTTTTTTATTTTGAGAATTATTTAATTTTTAAGGTTTTTCTCACTTGTCAATTTTATGCAGTTATTATTTGCACTTTTTTCACTTTATACCAGTTCACCATGGTTCTACATTGTCATAACTGAATATAAAGTTTGAATTTTCTTTGATTCAATTTTTTCCCTTAATTTTACTGCATTTTAAATTTGTAATAATAACTTCTTCAAATAAGCCAATTTAATCATCAGAAATCAAGAGGAGGGAGAAAAAAGAATTTTTTGAACACATTTTGAAGCTATTTTCTACCACAAAGTTTTCTCAGTTTTCATTTACAACCAGTAATAAAATTTCAAATGTGGTTTTAAACAGTAAAATTAGGCCATTTTACAAACATAAAATGGCAAATTAAACTTTCTTTTATGAACTGCATAAATCATATAACATATTTATTACACAGAATAGTACTTACTTTTAAAGTTTCCAGAGTACCACAAGCTACTTGCAGCATTTGAGTCAAATTGTTGTAAGTGTCAAATAGAGGTTCCTTATCTTCCTAAATGTTAAAAGAAAATTATGTTTTTACTAATAAATGTACGAAACAGATTAGTACCGAAAATTATGTTTTTACTAATAAATGTATGAAGCAGATTAGTACCAAAGAGTAAAATGAGACTTACTTGAAGATCTTTATTGAATGTACTTGGTAAGCCTTTCAGAACAGCTAGAAACCCAGTGCACTAAATAGTTTCAAATAACATAATTTTTATGAGAAATTTTTGTATAAAAAATAAATTTTTTAATTATACAAATCATATTTCTCTGCAAATATTTCTCTAGGTATATTTGCTGCACCCTTAAAGAAATTTTTGTCAGAAAGAAAGTAATAATTCAAGCCTTTTTTGCAATGAAAATACAAAATTTTCCATACTGATACCATTTAATAGAAATAAAACAGTGAAAAGCAGTCAATAAAAACTTTTCTGTAAACAACTTGTTGACCTTTATTTTTCTGCCAAATAGTACATTTATAACTATCTTATAGGGCCTTCTCAAGTATTTCAAACCCTCTTTTAGTAAAAATATATAACACCTGTAATCACATATTCTTTCATGAATGTTCCAGGAATACTTTAGATTCTAACAACTTGATGGGATTAGCCCACAAGGATTCCTTTCTTATAGAGGGATGCAGAAAGTAATTTTTTTTTAACAATAAAGAATACACAAAAGAAGAAAAACTCACTGCTTTGACAAACTCATATTCTATGTTGTTAATTAATTACTTTGTAGCCTCAGCAATGGTTGAATCATTAAGACTGCTGAATATCCCCATTTAAGTCCAGGTGAACGGGATGGCTGCATGTTTAGTTTTCATAGTTTTTCCCATGAACAAAAGCCAGTTCCCCTTAAAAATTCTTCACAAAAGCATTTCTTTGTTTCGATAGATAGCTCTTGTATGCTTTACCATATTCAAATAACCAAATTATTTCGTAAATAAACAAAGTTACGAACCTATGTACTAAATAGGGAAAAGTAGCTGGATAGTAAATTATACTTATTCTATTTGAATACCTTTTATATAGAGACAGGTATCCTTTTAGAATAAATACAAATACAGTCTTACTTTAATAACAAATCCTATATATTTCCCACCTCAATTTTAATTAAAAAAAACGCTTTCCGCCAAAACAAGATGAAAAATATGCAAAGAAATACAGTACATTCAATTATATGTAAGCATAAAAACATAATTTTTCACTTTTTCATTAATAGTTTTATTTCATATTACATATATAAATAGTGAATTTAAATTTAGCATAGAAAAAGAAGTGAAAGCACGTACTTTCAAGACCAAGTTCATAATCAGTTAATTAACAAAGCAACACTTAGCACTTACCAAAGCTGAAAGTTAGAAGCAAAAAAGTATACATGAAAAGCTGCTAAATGGAATCCAGGCACAAAGTTGAGAATAGATAAGAAAATAAGCCTTTTCATGTAATGTAAATGAGATGTTTGGTCTGGTAGTCTTCAGACCTGGAAAGATTACAAATTATGGTACTACAGCACTAATCATTCATTTGAAAGGATGACAAAATGCTAAAATATGAAAAATACTGACACCTGAAACATTTTCTTATTGGCTATTTTTTTTAAGAATGAAAACATGACTAAATCATGAAGAGTTTTATAAAATCGACTTCAAATTCAAAACAGCAGTTTTCAATATTCATATTTGAAATATGAATATTCTCTGAAAAACTATGGTCAGTTTACTTTAACTGTTTATATGGCTATCTAAGAAATATTTCTTTGGTTTAATAGTAGATGCATCAGCTCTCATCATTCTTAGTCTCATCTATATACAGTTACCATATACAGTCAAAAGTCGTTAATTCGGACACCCATAATCCGAACCTCAAAGCTACAAACTTTCTGCGCATGCGTCGCGTTCATGCATGCGCACAGGCGTTTACGAGAGGCGTAAGACCCTTACGGCTGCGAATTGTTTGTGCGCATGCGCGTTTAAATTGTAACGAGTTATACGCTATCTAAAGTTATCTATCGTTTCATTGCGATTGCATGTCCTTAAGCTCGAATGATCCGGCTTATCTTTTTGCAGATGTTATAGCAATTTTTTGAAGTAAGCTTAACTTTCGATTATGTCAAAGAATTCCGAGATATATTTATAAAAAGCGAAAAGTATGTTTTGAAATACGAAATCGTTTATCAATTTCACGCAGCGATTGGAATTGATCTGTCGCACTATCCTTACTTCGGGCAGAGTTTTTATTTTATTTGGTTTATATTCATACAAGTGTAGTATTTCATTCGTCTTTGATATGATTAAATCAAGTTCCTGGTCATTATAATTCGCTCCGATAGTGGAAGAAAGTGACCCAGAGGTTATGAAAAGAAACATTTCGATTGACAATTAGTCGGTATTCACCGAAGTATGGACTTGACAGCGGACTTTGTAACTAAACAAGAATATGTCTCTGTAATTAATAAAGAACAGTATTATCACATGAAACGAGCCACTTACATTGAGGAAATGTTTATAAGTAAACAAATAAATATAATTTTGAATAATTTTCATATTGTTCTTTTTTCTAATTACGGTTCATATTTTAATTTTTCTTCTGATGCATCTTACCAGATTTAACGGATGATCTATAATCGGGAAAAATCGATAATCCGGAATCGCCGAAGTCCCGACGAGTCCGGATTAACGACTTTTGACTGTAATACTAAACAGAAAGTTCCTGAACACTTCAATGCAGTTTTGGGATCATAATGGGAAACTAATGAATTTGAACAAAAGCAAAATCTTGAGGAAATAACAATAAATTTAGAATTATTTGCATATTTTATTTCCTTTTTTTTGGGGGGGGGAGTGAAGACACATAATGGGCACCCAAATACTTTCACGCCTATATTATTGCAATGACCCAGAAAATTGAAAAAATAATGAAATTTGTATTTATAGAAATGTATATTAATGTTAAATTATTTGCAGAAAATACAACTGCATTCTAGAATAATGTTAACCTTTTGATGATCATCAATGAGCTCAGCTCGAGTCACACTTACACACCGTAGTGGGTGCAAATGAACAGAGCTCACATTAAAAATTTTTGGTTGTCAGATATTGCACAGATTTGGGAAGAAAGAATTATTTAACCTCACAACCACCAAAGGTTAAAAGTGTATTGTCGGTATATTATCATGATGTATATGTTGTTAAAAAAAGATACATTTTTATTTTTGAAATCCTTCAGCAATTTGTTTTAAGTTTTTGATTGAAAAGTGAAATTATTTTTTATAAGTTTTTATTTATTATGATTACAGAGAAAGAAAGATATCAATTAGTAAAAAAATGTTTGAATTTGAGTTTTTTATTAAAAACACATTTAAATTAATGAATCTAAGTTCTTAATTTTTAGTAATTACAATACCCCATATGGATATGCAAGCACACTATAAATTTACAGTTAAAATAAATTATAATCTAAATCATAAAAATGTTAAATATTAGTTAAAATTTGTTTAAAACATCTCCACTAAAATGCAAATTTAACTGCTAAATTTAATGAAATGTGGTTTTACTACTAGAAAACAATCATATTCCATGTAAAATGTTATGCATTTAGAAGAAAAACAGATGAGCACACAAACAGCATTTTTCAAGAATCAACAAAGACATGCTTATTTAGAAATAGCAGAATTTAAGAAAGAACAACAGATTTATAGCTAAGAAATTTAATAAGAAATATAGCAACATGCAAAACTACACAAACACAGTTTTACTAAAATTAAAATATAAATATCAGTTTTAAACTTACATTTCCTATTAATCTTCCAGTTTTACCTCGAATAAGCTCAAGACTGTCTGCATTCTTTTTCTGTGGCATTAGACTGCTGCCAGTACTAAGCAACAATAAAACTTACAATAAATAAGTCAATTAATTAAGAAAATAAAGAAGGAAAAAAGAAAATTATAAACATCAAATACCATAACTGCTTGGTAAATCATAAACTTACAATGAGAAAATTTGAAAAATGTCAGAATTGCAGTTTAGTAATGGTTAGTTTCAATAACAGTAGTTTTATCAAACACTTTATTTTAAAAAAAAAATTTTCAATATACTATTTTTTCTAACAGTGGTTATTATTCAACAATAATTGTATGCCACGCTCATAAAATCGAAAATGAAAATAAATAAAAAAAAAAAAAATGAAAATTTATTAAGTAGGCCTATGAAATAAATTTGCACCATTGTGCAATGGATATCAACAGATGATTCATCACTTGTTTTGTCCCTCTGTGCATACACAGCCTCGTTTTCTGTATAACCTCATGCATTCAAGATCAAATACGGATTTAACATATAGCTATGATTTCTCCAGAAGTATTCAGTCCATGCACACCTTTGAGATAGATGAGCTTATTTCACACATCCTATAGGCATAAGTACTTGATCTTTGAAAAACATGTTTATGTACAATTTTCTTAACCTGTCCTTGAACAGCTTGTTAACACACATATCATAGGGGTTGAAGAATTCAGGTCATTCTGCCTATGAAAAGTATTAGTGAAGTATATTTTCTTCTTTTTTAATTTTCTTTTTACTGTCTCTATTTGTAGGGCCTGTGTTAAATGTTTAAAACAAGAAAACTAAGAAATCTTAATTACCAATTTATTGACGTTGATCATTTTGTCCCCCAAATAAACTCATTCCTTCATTATATCTTTGCTAAACCATCTAATTTTCATTTACCTGTACAATGATGCTTTTTGGAAATACCACTGACTTTGGTTATGTCTTGCATTTGAATACAATGAATGTAAGAAGTTTATACTCATAAGTAATACATATAAGCGTAACAGTTATGAATTATTTTCAGAGTTCATGTTTGGACAGATTTTACTAGGGAATTATTAAGATGGGTTTATTTTTATTTACTGAGATGATTTTTATTCACCTCTTCTCCTTTCCTTCTACCATATAATTTGCTGTCATGCAGAAACTACCCAAATTTGGTTAACATTTCCTGCATGATCAAGAAGATAATTCTTTCCAATATACTGTCTTGTTTTGAAGAATTAAGATTCTATCTCTTTGGAATTTTCTGCTAATTTACAAGTAAGCGATAGACGCATACAAAGTGAAAAACATAACTTTTCATGAACTCATCACTGAATTTTCTATCAAGCAACTTAAATTAACCTTACTTTAAATTATTTTTATGTAGATTGAGAGAGAATTCTGATATGGCTCTTCACAAAATCCTTTGAAGCAATTTTCACTGCATGGTAGCAATCACTCTTTTTCCAGCCATATCTCTCTGTATGCATGCATGTGTGTGTGTGTGTGTGTGTGTGTGTGTAAAAAAATAATGTACAGCAACCTCCTGATTTTAATTGGCAAATAGTCACCACTTATATTCTTCATTTTAATTTGGTATTTTGCCCTTCTGTCCTAAAAATAGTTAATATTTAAAATGTATTAATCTAAACTGTGCCATACAATCTCGCATAACACTGCAGTGCAAAAATGTTTTAGCGAATCAGTGAATAAGATTTCAATTGAAAGCAAAACATTTTTGACTCCCATGCTTCTTTTGAATGTGTCACACTTTTCCGCTTCCTTGATTTTAACTCATTCATGGTTTCCTTCTTTGTATCTCAGATTATCTTAAGATGAGCTAAGCTTCCAAAAATATGAGGTGCATATTGCACCCATAATAATGTGTAAATCAGAATATGTGTCTCAAGAATTGCTTTATTCACTAAATAAAATTATGCTGCATTTTCAGCTACGTTTGTCTGCAAGTTCTATTATTTTATTATGCACTTACACCATGCAGTCATTGTCCACGACTGAAATTAATAAGAGAGGCTTCTCTCTCCTGTGCATTCTTAAAATATATATATAGCACAAAGTCTAAAATCTAGGCCTCCAAATCAACCTTTTTTTATACACATACTTTATGCTTGTGCATTTGATATTTTTTCCTTAATAAAACATGTGAAGAGTTCAGATTCTTAATTTCACTTTGCCACGAACACCAACTTGCTGAAACATTATTTGTTATTACTTGCTTTCATCACTGATGACTATCAACACACTGAAGCTTGAGAAATGACTCATGTAGCAATGTCTGAGTTTTAATGTAATTGAACACCATGAGAGCATAGTAATCTTTTCTGTTAACATTAATGCCTGGTGATAATTACAGACTTCAGGTGTGATATGTTGAGCATGTTAATGAGAGAAATTTAATAGAAATTTCTTTCCATGTGCAAAGAAATAGGTTTTTTAAATGATAGTCATAGATATTCCAAAAGATTACATTTAGAGCTATTTAAATTGAGAATAAGTTATTAGTTATTCAGTTAAGTCCAGGACCGATGCCAAAATTGGTGCAGCCACACTGGGTGGCAGAATTAGGAAAGGCAAAATTTTTAGAATTTAAAGAAGCATTGAGCAACAAAATTAAGAGATGGCACAATCTTTAGAATTAGGGAAGGCATTGGGATACAAAATTTACAGGAGGCAAAACTTTTAGAATTTAGGGAGGCACTTAGCAGCAGCATTTTGGACAAGCAGAAGTGGCACCGCAGTAAAAAATCATACGTATAATAACAATCATAAGTGTAAAACATGTCAACTGGCATCATACAGTGCCCAGAATGCATCGAAGAATTGGGAGGACCTCTGGCTTCACAACTTCCTTTATGCAGTAATCACTAAAAGTTTTGCCTCCTGTTGCCCACAATCTGCATCAGCTAGGATCAACAATTATACCCAATAGCTCCCCACACCATGATGTCATGCATTTGTGCAGTATGATGCTGTATGACACACTGTGGGAGCAGACATTCCCCTCTAAAAGGTCTGACACATACTCTTCCATCACTGTACTCCAGATTGTAATGAGATTCATCAGTGAAAAGAACTTGTTGCCTCAAGGCATGCCGCACACCTGTTGCCGTACTCACTGAAGTCAGAGGCATCTGTGATTCAGCAACAGGGAAATCCTGCATAGAGGAACCTTTGCACGCAGTTCATGCTGCAGCAGATGGCTACAAATCATGGAGCTAGACAACACAACACCTGTAGCTGCACTCCATTGTAGTGCCAACACACAAGAGGATGCTGTACTATCCATCAGAGCCATGCAGATGAGGTGTCTGCATGTTGTGCTACTACATGCCCCATTGCCAGGATTTTACCTTGTTTGGCTCTCTGCTGTCTATTTTTCCCAAACATGCATCACTGTTGTGGCATTACACTGCGTGTTTGTTGCAATTGCTCAATGTGTCCATCATCTCGCATACCGAAGATGTGGCCTTGTTCGAACTCCATTCTTAATCCCTCCACTGTTCACGAGGCATACTGACCACTAATTAAACGTTCACTGCAGACAGAGGATGATGCATAGATTTCAGCACAACTTTACAGTTCTTTATATACATGGAACAAGTGGCTAGTTCTCATTCCATGCAGGTGCAATCCCTTTGTAATTCTAATCATTTGCATGTCTTACCTCACTTTACATTTCCTGTAAGTTTGGTACAATTTGTGTAATTCCTTCATGGTGCTGCAATTTTCACGAACATTACTGTACAAAGGCAAAATACACAAAAACCACATAAAATCAAGTATCTGATGCAATCTACATAACAACTGAAAAAATTATATCTGAAAAAATATCTTTTAGACGAACATTTTAGTATACACTTTAGCTACAAAACTATACACAGAAATTTTATGCAGTCAAAAGTGGTGATAAAAGTAAAGATTTTAGAATCATTATTATTACCTGAATGCATCAGCTATCCTAACAAAGCCGAATTCTTTAGTACTGTATAAAAGTAAATCTTCAGCCCACTTGCTTAAATGCATAGCTACTAACGATCCCCAGAACAGAAATTCAGCTACATAAAAACAACAAGTACTTAAAATATGCATAATATATTATGTGAACTACGTTATAGGGGAAAGAATACTTTTTAAGAGCTTAGTTTATCATCCGAAACATCGCAGAAACTTTGAAATAGTATTTCTATGTAAAGGGGGGGGGAAGAAAGAGAAAGAGATAGAATTTACCTAAAAGCTTGAGTGATGAGGGAAGGGGGGGAAGGCAAATCTCTTCTGAAAATTTTTGGGTACTACAGTTTATTTTACACTTGATTGTTTACTTTTTCTCATCTTTCTGGGTTTATAACCTTTCTCATTAGCTGCTGTAATTTTCCTTGCTACTGATCTAGTACTAACTGCACTGGTCAGTCAAAACATTAAGAGCACTATCTTAATTGAACACTGCTCCCTTTTTGCAATGGCATCTTTGGAAAATGATAATTACACATGCTCATGTTTTGATGCTTTCATCTGAAAATAATGCATCAGTTGTAGTATATCCTCTGGTCATGCGTTGCTTCAGATTCAAAATACAAGACTTAACAATCACAAAATTTTTAACAGTAGCATATCTTTAGACTTCACGATAGAGATTTAAATTTGCTATACAATTTTTTTTTCCAGTGTTTTCTCAGTCCATGATATTAATGTTCAGTTCTTTTTAAAGAAGCTAACCGCTTTTAAATTTTCATTAAGTTTTATTGATTAAACATCACTTTCTTCTTCACATTTAAGCTACAACAAAATTACACAATCTTTAAAACCAGCATATATTTAGAGTTCCCAACAAAGTGTTAAATGTTGCCATACTTTTTTACATTTCCTATATTACTACTTTAAAAATACTACATAGTGATAACATTTGATGGCAGTATACTTTTACTTGAAAAGTGACTCAAGACAAATTGAAATGGACAAAAAAATTGAGGATTGAGTGCAATACATTTATTTAATTAATTCATAGTGAGCTTATTCTCACTGCATTTAGCATAATTTCTACAATATACTTAAAGTTCATAAATGTAATGTGTTTTCCTCACTCACATATGAGTTTTAAATACCAAATCTGAGAAGTTTTGGACTATCTCCTAATATGAAATCTGCTGAAGAAAACCTGTTCAGAGCTTTAAATAAAGTATTAATTCCAATTTATAAGCCAAAATCTAATTAATTGTTCTTATTTATATAAAACACCTTAAATATTAATATTAAAAGTTTTCGGTTACATTTTAATACATTTTTTCATTAAAATCATTAAGAACATTTAAGAAGAATCCAAATTTTTATGAGCATACAAAGCTGTGATAGATCAATATTTAGAAGAAGGTATTGCAGGTAAAAGAAGTATTAAAAAATTGAAAAAGAATACTTTTTATTGCAAAAGGCCATAATCAGAGAAAACAAAGACAGCACGAAACTTCATGTTGTCTTTGATGCATCATCACATGCTAAAGGCAAACTCTCCTTGAATGACTGTTTAGAATCAGATACAGTAGAAAGTCGGAGATCCAGACATCCAATGTCCAGAATGATCTAAAATCCGGACCTTAAAGCCACTCAAAAAATTTTTTAAAGGAATTCTTTTTCATGCTTTACGCATGCACATTTGATTTTGTTCCTCATAAGAAAGCATGTGTCGAATACTGATTATTAATTTCAGTTCTGCACTAATTAAAATACCTTGTTATTGATGAAACAATAATTTTAGCATAAATTTATGTGATCAATAATTTGGCTTTATATCTGCTTGGCATACATCTCAAACTGAAACTTTCTACGTAGAAACATCTTTGATTTTACAAATACTAATATTTTATATCCCTGATGCCAACCTAGAGAATCATAATTAATTATATTTTGCCTTCATCACTGTATGCTTATCAACACATGACAACTTAAATAATGACTCATGCAGCAATGCCTAAACAATTTTTCTTGTATTAGCAATTGAATAACAAAGAGTATGTAAACCTTTTACGTTGACATTATGCTTGGCGATGATTATAGATTTAAGTTAAATGCTGACAAGGAAAAATTTAACAAAAATTTCTTTCCATATGCTAAAAATAGATTTTGTTAATGATACTGACAGGCCAAAAAATTATATTTAGTGGTATTTGAATTAAGAAAACTGATTTTTTTATTCACACAAGCACAGAAGAGCATCGGAACTCGTACGGCTGCATCAAGCAGCAGAATTTAGAGAAGATAAAATTTTTGGAATTTAGAGAAGCACTGAGTAACAAAATTAAGGGATGATAAAATTTTAGGGAAAGCTCTGGGACCCAAAATTTAGGGGCGACAAAAATTTAGAACGTAGGGAGACACTTAGTAGCCGAATTTAGGACCCACAGAGACTGCATCAGGTGGCAAAATATCTAGCGACGGCCCTCAGTAAGCTTAAGTATATGTGGCAATTTATTTATTCAGGATCCAGATAAGCCTTAAGCATGTGCACAAATTAAACATAAGTATAATAAATAACTAAATTAATGCAATTCAGGCTTAACTGTCTCAGTGCGCAATATTAGCAAAACAAAATTTAATGGAACATTTTGTCTTTTGTCGTCAATCTCATGCTACATAGCCAATAATGTATAGTGGATGCTGTTAGACTAGGATAAAATGATACTTTCCTGATTAAAAAGAATTTTAGTTAATATAGCAGATTGTGCTGTTCCTTAACTTTCTGATTTGATTTGGCTTATTATTTTTTGCAGGCTGTTATGATTACAGTAATTTTATGAAAAACTAAAGTTTGAATTTTCCATTTTGTTGAAAAGAGCTTCTAATTCAGGAGCTGCAACAGCATTTACAAAGCAAAAGCATATGAAATAATGGAAAAGGCAACTTTATGAATTTTTTGTGGATTCCGACACTTCACTCTAAATGAATAACAGAAAAATTATTCGCTATGCTAAAATTAACGATCATGACAAAGTGACAATTGAATTGTCAGACAAAGATGCAGCGAGGGCATGCCATTGATGGGCCCAATGATAATAGCTCAAGTAAAATTTTTATGAAGAAATGAACTTAAAAGCTGAAAATCCATATTCGACGGCTAAGTTAACCAAATTTTAAAATCGTCACAGTATAATGCAATTAAAAATTTTGGGTAAAAAAGTTTCAGCTGAAGCTGCTGAGCTATTTGCAAATGAATTCATTGAACTCATTAATTATGAAACATTATCTCCAGGACAAATTTACAACGCTGATGAAATTGGTCTTTTCTGGTGTAGCGATCTCCAGAACAATTCAACTCTCGCAACTTTGGAAGAGTCAGAATTCTTGAAACTAGCACAACGGAGCTCTTTTGGCTCTACTCATAAAATTCTACTCATAAATAACCAACCCTGTTCAGTCCCACTCCTGCAATGCTACACTTCTTACCGGTGTTAATAGATGGCGACATGAGCAAGCTTTGCTGAAAACTACCAAAGTTTCGCCGAAACATGTGATCGCTACATTGGTGACCTGGACATGATGTAGAAGGTTGTGTCTTCGGTCATGCAATGCAGCACCTCTCACTGATGTTAATAGATGGCGACACGAGCAAGCAACTACCAATGCTTCACAAAACTACGTGATCCCTACATTGGTGACCCGGAGAATTATAGACTCTTCCCTCCACTGAGGACAAATGACGAACTACGTCACACGCTCTACCCCACAATCTAATGGTGACACCCATGCTAATAAAAGGGCTTCTCCTCATATCACATCATAGATGCTTAGCCGGGGAGTGTGTAACGATCTTCAGAACAATTCAATGCTCGCAAATTTGGAGTTCTTGAAACTAGCGCAACGGAGCTCTTTTGGGCTAGTGGTAAAGAATTCTACTTGTAATAACTTGTAAATAACCGACACAGGTTCTGGTCCCGCTCCTGCGATACGACACTTCTCACAGATGTTAATAGATGGCAACATGGGCAAGCTTCGCCGAAAACTACCGAAGCTTCGCCAAAACACATGACCGCTACACTGGCAATATATTTTAGTTAATATAGCAGATTTTAGTTAATATAGCATTACTTTGAAAAATACTTTGATAATTTCACAAAATACTTTGATAACCTCTACAGAAAAGGCTCCAGCTGGTGTCAAAGATCCCAAAGTTAGACTAATATTTTTAGCATGTGCATTTGCTGCAGGAATTCACAAGTTTAAACTTTTCATAATTGGGAAAAAATACACGAGCTCGAGCATTTAAAGGAGTAAAGATTTTCCTGTTATATATCATGCAAATAAAATTCTTGCATGATATATAACAGGAGCACGAATAGCTTGAGCATGAATGACACAAGCATTAATGTATGGTTTGAAAATCATCTCATACCTGAGGCTCAGGAAAATTTTAATTCGGTTGGTTTACCTCAAGATGCAAAAATTGTCCTGATTGTAGATAACTGTTCAGCTCATATTTCACTTAAAGTTTTAATGAAAGATAATGTATCCATGTTATTCCTTCCTCCAAACTGTACGTCCATCATTCTGCCTATAGAAGAAAAATGAAAATTGCTAGGATCACCATGGAGGTGAGAAAAGAGATTGTTGATAAGCATGAAAATGGCCTGCATATCCGAGACTTGACTATTGCATACCATATGCCAAGTATAAAAATGTCCATGACTATGGAGAAACAAAGACACTGTTAAATCAGCTAACATTGGTATGGGGGTGAAATCGATTACCAAACAAAGACCAAAGATGTTAAAAAATTGCTTTTCATTTGTATACTATAGTAGAAAAATATTTATGCACAATATCATGTAAAGTGCTTCATTTATGTACAATATATATTTCATCCACAGCATTTGCATTATTTGCAGTATTAAAATAACAAGAATAGGATTATTCTATGAGAATGGATTCAATTATATCCCTTTATTTCTTACTGGAAAAGTTCATCCATAGATCTGGAAGAGTTTAATGACATATACTAAGGTACTACCATATCTGATTTCTAATACAATATAAATTACCAAGAAGACTTAAGTAGACAATGATTCTTTAA